TCTTTTGTAAACAAAAGCTGCGCGTCTGCTCAAAAGTGAAAATAATTGATACTGAAAGCCACCATGCTTCATGAATTGCATCTCAAAACAGTGCACTTCTGGGTGACGAAAATTGCATTGAATTGCGTGACAGAAGTCACCTGTGTTACAAATCAATCATTAACTATGACCTCGATATAACGAACATTTTGGTCGTTTCCCCTCAAATTCGTTATATCGTGGTTTTCGATATAAAGAACCCTCGATTTAACGAACAAATTTGGCCGATCCCCAGCGACTTCGTTAAAACGAACGTTCCACTGTACACCCAATGCAAGAGTAAACCACTCCAAAATTTTAATGATTCAAATAATGTAATTTATTTGAAAGAATCCTACTTTCAAAATTTCGTAAAGAATGACTCAAGATTAACCTCAAAAAATGTTCCACAATATTTATTAGTTTTGCTTTGTTTTTTTGTTTGTTTCTTTTTTTGTTTGTTTGTTTGTTTGTTTGTTTTCTTTTTTTGGTTTTTTTGAGAAATGCAAATCTGACGGACCTGATAATCTTCAGAGGAGGTCTAAGCGGAATGTAGTGTTTCCAACAAATTCANCAAATCAATCATTAACTATGACCTCGATATAACGAACATTTTGGTCGTTTCCCCTCAAATTCATTATATCGAGGTTTTCGATATAACGAACCCTCGATTGAACGAACAAATTTGCCTGTCCCCAGAGACTTCGTTGAATCGAGGTTCTACTGTATTACTTTTTTCCTGAGAGTGCAATTTATTACCCTGCAATTTTAGGAGAACAGCGAATTCACAAGCAGACAAAGTCAGTTAAACTGCAAACGAGTTGGTGCCGGACAGGACGAAGGACACAGCGAAGAAGAAACTTTCCTCGACGAGCAAAAAAAGTAAAACACGACGAAGAAAACCATCGGTCATTTTGTATTTTAAAGGTCAATAAGTTAGGCTTAAATCTACTACAAAGCCACCACGTACTGATCTTTATTCTTACCCAGAATTCCCTACTACACATTACGTGATGAGATACAACACTCCTCCTTCCTATTACAAGTAATAATAACTAACCTCAAACACAACTATATAAGAATTAACTAGAAGAGCTACAAGTTCGGTCTCTCAAGGGGTTTACTCACTGGTCCAGAACGTGTACCTAACAGGAGTACCCACAGAATGAAGATTTGACATAGGAACTTTAGTTTTGTCAGGATCGGGATTAATCTGTACCACTGTGGTAGCAACTTCAGTCAATTCTGGACGTACATGAAGAACCGCCTGTTCAGATTGCCTTGATGTTTCTACTTGGGGAATAAAGGGAATCACTTGTGACGAAGGAGTGGGATTGCACTCTACAATATCTCTTTCAACATTTTTCATTTTTAGCATTATGTTCCCTTGCATCATCAGGTATTAAGTCTACGGTTTTTACCTGGCACTCTAACAAGATAAGTGTCCGGGCCCTTAATAGCGACAATTGTACCCGGTATCCATTTCTCCATCCCTTTTTTAACCCTGACAGCAGTGACAGACTGATGTAAATCAAAGGTTCGCAACTTTGGATGAGCACCATCTTTGTACAGTTTGGATGCTGCTTGTCTGCTTCCTACACGACTCTTTAAACTTGCTTTGACCAAGGAAAGAAATGTGCGGGGCTCCCTTTTTAGAACAACTCTGCTGGAGTCTTACCTGTATGGAGGGTGGCGTATTCCTGTATCGGAATAGAATGTCAGCCACTCAATGTTGCACAGACCTTTCATTACTGTGAGCTTTGAATTCCGCACATGTCTCTCTGCCAAACCATTGTTAGCAGGGTGATAAGGAGGAACTAGAGTGACTTTGATCCTGTTCATTCTTAAAAAATGTCTGGTACTCTTGAGAAGCAAACTGAGGACCATTATCACTAACCACTCCATGAAGTAATCCATATTCAGCAAACACGGCTCTAAAACCTCCAATCATTTCGAGTGACCATCCACAATGACAACAACTTGTTGACCCTTTACTTCAGCAAAGTCTTCATGAATTCTTTGCCATGGTTCAGTAGCCCAAGGATGAACTGCTTAAGAAGTGCTTTGTGCACTAACACAGTCCTCACAAAGTCTGACTCCGCCCTCTATGTCCTGGCCAAAACAGGGCCACCAGACAAATGATCTGGCAAGTGCCTTCATACGACGCATCCTTGGATGACATTCATGCAACTCATCTAACAGACGCCCTTGTAATTTGAGAGGAATGATCACACGCCTGCCCCACAACAGACAGCCATCTTCTAAGGAAAGGTCTTCCCTACGATTCCAGTATGGTTTTATCTTTGGATCAGAAGAATGATTTTGCCAACCTGAGGAGTTGTATTCATACACTTTAACAAGCACCTTGTCTTTTTTAGTAAGGTCAACAATTTCCACCGAAGTTACAGTGAACCTACCGACTGCGGTAGCAAACACATAGAGTTCATTTGGGTCAGGATCGTCTTCATCTCTTGTATGAACAGGGAATCTACTGAAGAAGTCTGCTTTGGCATTGTCTGCAGACCTTTTATAGACAATGTCATAATCATACCCAGACAAAAGCACAACCCACCTTTGTAACTTCGCGGCTGCTAGGGGAGGAATGCTAGATTTAGGACCAAATGTACGTGTTAGATGTTGATGGTCAGAGAAAAAGGTAAACTGAACCTTTTGATCCCTAAAACTATGGCTAACCCTTCCTTTTCTATTTGGGCATAATTTCTTTCTGCCATACTGAGTGTTCTAGATGCATATTTAATGGGTTTCTCAGACCCTTCTTCCAATCTATCACTCAAAAATGTCCCAATACCATGTCGGCCAGCATCAACACTCAAGATACTGGGTTTACTGGGATAATAACGCACCAACACCTGATTACCTGAGAGTACCTCTTTTGCCTACAAAAAGGCTGTTTCACAACTTTCACTCCTAAAGCATTTACAGTCAAACCTGTAAATAACGGTCACCCTTGGGAAATGGCCAGGTGGCCCTTATACCCTTATATACAGAGTGGCCGCTGTACACAGGTTTCCTTCCTCATGGGAAGAATATTTCACTGGTGCAGAAATCTTTCCCAAAATGGGAACCGTTTCACCCGAATAATTACGTTAGGTAACATAATCACTCTGAAGAGTTAAATCAGTTAACAACGTATTGTATACCTACTGTGACACAGTTGAACGCGACGCACCAGTTTCTACCTCCATATTGACAGTAGCATTTCCCAGCTGGACACTAACTACATATGGTTTAACAGTCACACTATCATTTCCAGTTCGGTACAAACCAAATTCTTCGGTATCCTCGCTTATTGTAGAGTTTTCATACATCTGGAAACTGGAGTCATCACCTCCTTCTTATGAATTAGCCTAACATTTGTTTACGCTCGCGTCTCTGGAACTGCTGGACCTTCTATGGAAAGAACTTTCCGGCAAACGGGCCTTGCATACTGGACGAAGATGGACTTTTTGCTGACAACGCTCGCAGGTTGCAGCTTTTAATTTGCAAACGTCAAAACCATGTGCTTTGCTACCACACGCTTCACATCGTTGAGAATAACCACTCAAAGTACTTCTACGTCCACTAGTCCTCTTCTGTCCGTTTTCCTGTTTTAGGTCCTGGATTTTGTTAGCTTCTTCACTCACAGGTTCTCCCATGTGCTTTTTGTTGGCTTTACTTTCCAACTCGTCTGCAATGCACCGTTCACGCGCAGCCGTGAAGGTTAGCTCTCTCACCGCTAACAAATGGCGCTGCATTCTCGACATTTTCAGTGCAATGCAGACACGATTTAAGCCACGCTTATAAAAAGCCAACTGGTTTGCCTCCGGCCTGTTGGGATTCTTAACAAAGGTTATGTTCAATTCGAATTATTTGTTTCAGTTGTTTGCTCGGCCCCACTAGCACTTGTGCTATAAACATTACCGAGAGTAAATAAAGGTTATGTTATTATTATACAACAGGTGACATTATAAAAAACATTTCAACGTTTTTAGTCTTGGATTCCGGATTCCGCAGCGTTGGATTCTGGAATTCAGTGACTGGATCGGCTGGATTCCAGATTCCATTGTCTTTGGATTGACTTGCAGTTTCTGGTTCGGAAAACCCAGCCTCAACCTTAGCTTCATCAGCAGATAAGCTCAACAGCTCCCCCAGTCGCATCTTATCATGCAGCCGCTAATATCACCTCTTTTATTTGGATGAGCTCTTGTAACCATTCCAGGGGTCCGTTTCTCGAAAGCCCCGGATACTTTTCGGGTCCGCAAAGCCATTTTTAATCAATTGGTATTTAGAGACAGAGAGGTGTATACGCCTGAAACTTTATGTATGAAGAGAACCTCTGTTTATATTAAGACTATGTGCATAAAGCAGCTCTGAAGTGATAAGGCTTACGATTTTGCAACGGCTTTTCGGGTGCGAAAACTTTTCGGAAACTTCGAGAAACGGGCCCCGGGCCCTTAAACACAGCCAGAAGTTCAGTTTCATCAGCGAAACATTCTTTGGAGCTCTGTCATTTCTGAGGGTCAATGTCTATGTCTCTATTGAGCAAAGCACATGCTGACTTTGATGCATCCAACCCGCCTGACCTGCAAGTACTGTGGACTAGTGGAACCTCTCGCTGTCACTGCCCTTGTTCCAGTCGCCATCATGGAAATCCCTTATAACATGGGAAACAAGAAAGGAAACTGTCTTTACCATGCTCGTTGTTCTAAGCCTTGTATGGCCATTACTGACCGGTGAAAGCCGCTTTTTTCATGCGACTCAAGCTCAGTTGAATCATCTTGCTTCATCCATCACCTTACGGTACCCAAGTATGCAGTTTCGTGTGCAGTCCAATCCTCCCAATCCACTGGAAGGCTTTGAAAACATCTCAGCGGCCAATAAATTCTTAACATACCGGTATATATAACAAAATGAATCGGCAGTGCCTGAGCCGCGCGTTAGTGTAACATGCCGTCTTACTGGAGCACCGCCGCCGGGTGTAACCAAGCGTTCCCAAATCCTTAAACGGCCAGGGTTTGCATCACTCTTTCTGCAGCTTTAACGGGATACCAGGCACTACGTCAATCACTTTTTATTCGAGAACAGAGAAATTCATCCATGTGTCAAAGTTCTTGGTGGCCCCTTTGATCTAAGCCTAACCTCTAACCACGTGAGTCGAGAAACTAACTGTCCTCACAGTGGCCAATCCTGCGATGTACACCTTGTAGAACTTCTGAAAGCAATATTTCTGCTATCTGAGGAAGTGCCTGACATGCGTGTCACATGTTGTGCAACCTCGGCAGTAAAGTCTTAGTTGAAGAAGACAACTGTACCTGAGAATGCCATCCTCGGCGATATCTGAGACATGCAAAGAGCATCGTACTGTATATTCTCGAAGACGCAGGTGACACTGCTGCTTAGCAGTTGGCAGATAGATGGATTTCCTGAGTCAGCACACAGCAGTCTCCTACTTCATCAGAACCACAAACGAAAACAGAGCAGAAGAATTGTGACTTAGACTCTTGTGCTTCAAGGCAGTGACAACTATCAGTCCGATCCAAAACAAAGAAATAGAAGATTCTGATCTCAAATCATCTATGTTGTTTCCTTTCTGTGACATCTTTCCTGAATTTGACCGTCATGGTCCTTGCATTGTTGAAGATCCAGTCTATGGTCGCCAGGATCCTTTATGACTTCGATACAAAATTCACTTGGGATAAGCTTAAAACAGTTAACATTGAAAAGGTCATTGTGATTCCAGACGACTTTTCAGAATCAGGAACTGACAATAATAATAATATCATAATAATAATCGAATATTTCCTCAGGATAACCCTTCAGTACAAAGTACTGTTATCAACGGGGTCCTGCTAAGAATTAAAAACTGATAAACACGAATTATTAAGATATATAAAATAAGATACATATTAAAAACCGTTAAAAATACAATAGAAATTACAAGTAATAATCGTCTAAGGCTTTCCTAAATAAAACTCTAGAATTAATGTTTCTTAAACTTAAAGGCAATAAATTAAAAATCGAGGCACCTAAAAAAATAAAAGCTACGGCGTGCAAAATCCAGTCTGACTTTTGGTAGTTTTGCAGTTTTCCCATTGTTGCTAGTGTTTAAAGCGTTATGATGTAATCGGTGAAAATAGTCTTTAAATGGAAAGCATGCAGTTCCATTAAGGCAGTCAAATACAAAGCAGCACGCTCTTTTCTCGAAAATCTCGAAAATGATGAGGAACAATCCTCTTACACAGAAACTACCGCAGTGATTGATCGTGATCTGGGAAAGTTAGCTTTTGCTTTTGAACAATATCTAAATCGGTGATTAAAATTTTTTTAAAAACCTTCTCTGGTTAAAAAAAAATAATCATGTCTTATCCTGTTGCTTGTCCATTTTTTTAGTTATTTTTTTGTAAAAAAAAACCCTTTTAGTCGGCTTGTCAGGGCTATGTATTTAATGGGTTTTGGGTGTTGGGTGGATGGTTGGGTGGACGGGCGATGTATGTATTTCAGACCAATCAGATTGAAGCTACCATGAACAACCAATCCAATTGCCGCTTCCAACGATAATTGTTGACGTCAGCTAAACGCGCTTCGGCAAGATGGCGAAGAAGCCAGTGTGTCCTTTCGCGTTGTTTTACCCAGGATTATGATCACGAGAATTGGAACTATGATCCGATAAATATAGTTTTTGAGAAAAGGTGTTTTTGAATATGGATTGCTGTGGAAATACGAACAGAAATCATTTAAATGAGAGGAAACGTTACCTTGAAATAGAATTAGCCAGCGCTGCCTTCGTTTTGGCGAAGTGGCGCTTCTAAACGTACGGATTACTTACTTCCTCCGCCTACTCACCGAGTCGTTCCGCTTTGCTTCGCCCTGGATTATGATCAAGGGAATTAAAACTATGAAGCTGTTGAACTGGGCGAAGTATTGGGGTTGAAGTTTTTGTTTACGGCGAATTATGGAGTATGTGCCGATACTTGCTGACGTCAGCTAAACACTGCTTCAGGAATAAGGTGAAGAAACCATTATCATTTGGCGGTGTTTTACGGGATTATGGTGACGGGAATTGAAAGTATGAACTTATTTCTATTTTTTTGAGAAAAGATGTTTTCGAAAGAGGATTTCTACTGTGAGTATTGTGGAAATACCGACAGAAATCACTGAAACCAGCGAAAACCTTTTTTTTTTTAACAAGAATATATTTTATTTTTTTCAATTAATTGATACTTACACCGCTTACAATACAATATTAATGTAGTTACTTACGCTACTTACAAAAACTTATTACCTACGCCACTTACGATATTAACACTTACACTATACAATACGCATACTCACGCTACTAACAATACTAATACTTACACTGCTTACAATACAACATAATTAGATCACTTGCGCTACTTACAATTCTAGCTCAGCAAGATCATACCAGCCATACTCATACCATACCATACTCATACCATATCATACTCCTGTCAGTAATTTAAATTCGGAATTGCGAATTAAAGAAAATATGCGTGGTATATATGGGCCTTGTTTCTTTTCCGTTCATTTTTATTTTCGTTTTCAGGGGACTAGGGTCAGGTTGTCAAGAGATTACAAAAGAGGCAACAGTGGTTCCTACTTTTTTAAAACGATTGTAGTTGTATTTTTTCCATGTCATAGATATGTTTTAAATACAGTAAGAAATCGTTTAGTTTTGGAGACGGAACATTTTTTCTGTCTACATAGCCAAATGTAATATTTAGCATTTAAGCAGGAGAATTTAATTTGAAGTTTATGTTTAGAGCTATCCGGCCTTAGACCCAGTGCTGTATCAGGCTCTAAGGGTGTCTCTTTTGCAATGACTTGGCAAGACTGTAGCCATACCTTAAAATTGGTCCAAAAATATTGAGTTTTTGGGCAAGCCCAAAATAAATATGCCAGTTTCTCTGTTTCTCTTTCGCAGAAAGTGCATTTCTCGCTATCGAGGAGACCATTTTTTTTCAAGAAGTTGTTTGTTGATATTCTTCTATGAATAAATTTAAAATTGAAAGTTATAAGTTTTGCGCTCTTTCTACATTGAAAAGCCATTTGGTAAACCTCTTTCCAGTTGAGCTCTTGCTTTGTTGTGAGAGTGACGTCTTCCTGCGACTTTTGTTGACTTTGGTTAGCCAGCGCTGGCTCGTTTTGGCGAAGTGGTGCTTCCAACAGTCTGTGTATGGCGATACTGAAAAATCAAAGGTTCTCCGCATCCTCACTGAGTCGGTCCGCGTTGTTTTGGACTGGATTATTATCAAGAGAACTGAAACTATAATCCATTTTTGGGGAAGGAAAGGTGTTTTCAGATATGAATTTAACCTTACACTGTGGAAATACGAGTAGAAATCTTGAAATCAGTGAAAGTGTCAGCTTGAGGCGGAACGAAAAAACGCTGTCCTTTTTTTTTCGAAGCTAAGGTTTGGTTGAAGAGTAAGTGGCTTTTTTTCTGTCGATAGTGATCAAAGTGTATATTTTTTCAGTTTCTTCGGGAAGTCCTGCAGCTGAACTTTCCTCATTTGCATAAGACAAAAACGTAAATATCTCTAAAACGAAAAAGGAAAAAGATATTCCAAAAAGGAAAACGCCATTCTGCTTTGCTTTAAGAAGCCTTTCAAATAAGCAGCAATTATTTTTTACTTCATGGGCACCTTATGACCACTTTTTGCGAGTGGTCATAAGGTTAGCTTAATTGCTACCGCATTCGTTTATAATTTTTTAGAATCTATTAAGGTGGCCGAACACAGGTTTCGAGAGCCTATACCTAATTCACCATTACTTTTAAGCTATTTATGCTTTGGCGCCCGTTTTTTGCAAGAGTCAAGGTTAA